AGAGACACTATCATGATCCATGTTTGCTTGGAAACATGCAAGTCTAGCCTGTACTATATAGAGAAAACTTTTAAAGCTTTTAGCTCCTTGAGTGCCATCTTTTTGAGAAATTTCAACTGATCTCGTACAACCTCAACTTAAAGGGTAAAATTTAACCCATGTGGGAACAAGAAAGAGGAAAACTATGCCAAAGAGCAAAATCAGGAGGGCTTAGGTAGTGCTCACCGATAAAATATGGGAAATAGGTCAAGACGGGATGCTAAAGTTACACTGGCATATTCCTAAATCTCCTGAAGCCAACATTAATGAAAACTAGATAATAGATGATGGGATTGGGTTGATTGTGATTTTAATGAAGTAGAGATTGGAGAGGCCTCGGGGGTGAATTCTCTTAGAATGGCCATCCCATATTTTGTTTTACATTGTCCTATTGACTCTCCTCTGTATAGGAAGTGGTTGGTGCCTTAGTGACCCATATCTGCAGTGGGAATGAAGCTGAAGTTGATACTGCGTTAGATGTCCTCCTAGAGTTGGTAGTGTTAAACCCGTCTGCTATGATGATGAATGCTGTCTTTGTAAAGGCATCTTATTGGCTTCTTGTACTTTAGATATCGAATACTATAATTGGTGGGACTGGAGGTGGGACAGAGGTGAAATAATGGGCAAGTAATATAAATAAAAAGTGACTATTCTATCTATGTGTTGATTCATTCAGCAAACACTTCTTTATATCTAACCCACAGACTAAGCTCTACTCTGGGTGCCATGGATGTAAAGTAGGTCCTTGCCTTTGATGTTAAAGACTAAGACACCTAAGCAAGTCACTATAAATACAACATGGTGAATTCTCTGGTAAAGTACTATAGCTAAAACAGAGCAAGAATAATTAAATTTAGCCTGGGAAGCTGGAGAATTCTTCAAAGAGACAATTTGAGTGATTGCTGAAGGATGGGAATGACTGACAAGAGAAAGTATGGGAAGTGCGTTCTAGGCAGAGAAGAGATTGAGCAGAAGCAGACTGGTGCCCAAGTCAATAGTGTGACTGAGGAATGAGAAGCAAACAAGCAAGACTGGAGAATAGGATATATATGGAGAAGAGTGATGGGAGGCAAGGCTGGTAAGACATAGGACAGGCCCATATTGCAAAGAGTCTCAAATAACATGCTAAAGAGTTTCAACTTTATCTTCTAGACAATAGGGAGCTATTACCAGTTTTTACACAGAGTTGACCGAACCTGGTCAGCGTTCAGAGATAACTCAGTAGCTATGTGATGGGCGGATTGTAGACCACTGAAAGGGTAAGGGAGTGAGAGTAAGGGCCAGATTTTGGTCATGGGAATGTGGAAGAAATGATGGCTTAGGGGACAATTTGGTGTTAGAATTAACATGACTTGGTGACTGTTAAGAATATGTGGCAATAAGAAACAAGAAAACTAGGTCCGAGTTTTTCATCTTAGGAAACCAGGTGAATGGTGCCATTTCCTGAGACCAGGAGGGGAGTGCGTCTTCTGTAGGAAGTATGATGAGTTCACTATGGGATAGCCACATGTAGATGGTTAGTGGATAGTTGGAAATTCTGGTTTGGAACCCTGTGGGGCACCCTTTGGTGGAAGATTTAGTTTGGGTATTCAGAACCATATAAATGTGAGCTCTACTGAGGCAATTTTGAGGCAGAAGACCATAGAAGCTTAGAAGAGCATAGACATTTTGAGAAGGTTAAAGTTTAAGTGGCAGATGAAAGCAAATGTCCGTAGAAGGAAAATGAGAAAACTAGAAGATGAATAATGTGAGCTTGAAGGATGTCAGGTAGCAAAAGCCCAGGAATGAGTTTCAAGAGTGAGGGATTTATCTCCAGTGTTGGACACTGTAGAGGTTGAAGATGGAGCAGAGGCTATTGGCTTTGGCAATTAGGATACCTCTGGTAACCTCTGAGAGAACAGTGTTAATTGAATTATAAGGGTGGAAGTCAGACAGCAGTAACTTGAAGACTTGGGGAACAGAGTCAATGTCGAGAAGCATCAAGGAGAGAATAAGAAAAGTAGCTTGAGAGAGAAGCTGGTTGCAAGGGAGATGTTTTTTAGATGAGGAGGTTTGAGATTGCTTATAGGCTGAGAGAAAGGATTCAATAGAGAGGAAGAAATAGAAAAGTTTCAAAATTAATTAGAAGTTTACAAAACTGTTTTATTACTTTATCCTCAGACAAACCATGAAAGGTAGTATAGCTATTATTATCACGTTACAGATGAGAAAAGCGGAGACATTTCCCACGGTCACAAAGTAAATAGTTTCCTTGTGACTCCTTCCAGATCTGTAGAGAAAGGAGAAATAATTCATGGAGTAGAAGCTGGGAAGGGATGATATGGCAAGGAATAGGGTAAAGACATAACTTTTGGTAGAATATTGTTTTCACTGAAAAA